GAAAGGTAGGGGGTGTGTGCACCAGGTGTTTAAAGTGAAACATATAAGTGAACAGTATTTAGATAAGGCTAAAGAGGTCTTTGTGGTATTTATGGATTTGGAAAAGGCATATGACAGGGTGGATAGGGGGGCAATGTGCAGATGTATGGTGTAGGAGGTAGGTTACTGAAGCAGTGAAGAGTTTTTTACGAGGATAGTGAGGCTCAAGTTAGAGTATGTAGGAAAGAGGGAAAATTATTTCTCAGTAAAGTAGGCCTTAGACAGGGATGTGTGATGTCACCGTGGTGTTTTAATTTTTTTTATGGATGGGGTTGTAAGAGAAGTAAATACGAGGGTCTTGGCCAGAGGCGTGAGTTAAAAGATAAAGAATCACACATAAAGTGGGAGTTGTCACAGTTGCTCTTTGCTGATGACACTGTGCTCTTGGGAGATTCTGAAGAGAAGTTGCAGAGATTGGTGGATGAATTTGGTAGGTGTGCAAAAGAAGAAAATTAAAAGTGAATACAGGAAAGAGTAAGGTTATGAGGATAACAAAAATATTAGGTGATGAAAGATTGGATATCAGATTGGAGGGAGAGAGTATGGAGGAGGTGAATGTATCAGATATTTGGGAGTGGACGTGTCAGCGGATGGGTCTATGAAGATGAAGTGAATCATAGAATTGATGAGGGGAAAAGGGCGAGTGGTGCACTTAGGAGTCTGTGGAGACAAAGAACTTTGTCCTTGGAGGCAAAGAGGGGAATGTATGAGAGTATAGTTTTACCAACGCTCTTATATGGGTGTAAAGCATGGGTGATGAATGTTGCAGCGAGGAGAAGGCTGGAGGCAGTGGAGATGTCATGTCTGAGGGCAATGTGTGGTGTGAATATAATGCAGAGAATTCGTAGTTTGGAAGTTAGGAGGAGGTGCAGGATTACCAAAACTGTTGTCCAGAGGGCTGAGGAAGGGTTGTTGAGGTGGTTCAGACATGTAGAGAGAATGGAGCGAGACAGAATGACTTCAAGAGTGTATCAGTCTGTAGTGGAAGGAAGGTGGGGTAGGGGGTAAAGGAGGTTTTGTGTGCGAGGGGCTTGGACTTCCAGCAGGCGTGCGTGAGCGTGTTTGATAGGAGTGAATGGAGACGAATGGTTTTTAATACTTGACGTGCTGTTGGAGTGTGAGCAAAGTAACATTTATGAAGGGGTTCAGGGAAACCGGCAGGCCGGACTTGAGTCCTGGAGATGGGAAGTACAGTGCCTGCACTCTGAAGGAGGGGTGTTAATGTTGCAGTTAAAAAACTGTAGTGTAGAGCACCCTTCTGGCAAGACAGTGATGGAGTGAATGGTGGTGAAAGTTTTTCTTTTTCGGGCCACCCTGCCTTGGTGGGAATCGGCCAGTGTGTTAATAATAATAATAAAATAAAAACATTATCTATGGAGGTAAAGAAGGTAATGTATGAAAGTATAGTGGTACCAACACTCTTATATAGGTGTGAAGCTTGGGTTGTAAATGTGGCAGCGAGAAGGCGGTTGGAGGCAGTGGAGATGTCCTGTCTAAGGGAAATGTGTGGTGCAAATATTATGCAATCTGGTGTGGAAATTAGGAGAAAGTGTGGAGTTAATAAAAGTATTAGTCAGAGGGCTGAAGAGGGGTTGAGGTGGTTTGGTCATTTAGAGAGAATGGATCAAAATAGAATGACATGGAGAGCATATAAATCTGTAGCAGAAGGAAATCGGGGTAGGGGTCGTCCTCGAAAAGGTTGGAGGGAGGGCGTAAAGGAGGTTTTGTGGGCGAGGAACTTGGACTTCCAGCAAGCGTGCGTGAGCATGTTAGATAGTAGTGAATGGAGACGAATGGTTTTTGGGACCTGACGAGCTGTTGGGGTGTGAGCAAGGTAGTATTTACTAAAGGGATTCAGGGAAACCAGTTATTTTTATATAGGCGGACTTGAGTAGTGGAAATGGGAAGTACAATGCCTGCACTTTAAAGGAGGGGTTTGGGATATTGGCAGTTTGGAGGGATATGTTATATATCTTTATATATGCTTCTAAACTGCCGTATCTGGGTACCTCTGCAAAGACAGTGATCATGTATGAGTGAAGTGAAAGTGTTGAATGATCATGAAAGTATTTTCTTTTTGGGGATTTTCTTTCTTTTTGGGTCACCCTGCCTCGGTGGGAGACGGCCAATATTTTGGAAAAAAAATACTACTACAGTTTATTTATAGAGTAATATATTGATAAATGAAATATTGGGATAATTACAGACCAGGAACATGATTCTCAAGACAATTCTTAAGACGATTGACAGACGGCATTTTTAAAAGACTTCTTCAAGTGTCATTTGTCTTATTAACATAGGTTTCTGTCTAAACAGTCTCTCTTTAACTGAGTAAATTGCCATAATCTCTTGCTCACTGATAAATGCAAGTTGATCAAGGCCAGTAATTAACTGATCACACAATTTTTCACCATATCATTTATGGGGACTTTTTCACCTGTGTCTACAATGTCATCATCATCACTACTATTCTCATGCTTATTTGTATTTAACACCATTTCAGCAATTTCACCATCACTCAAGGAGTGCACAACAGGTGCATCATTGTCAATGTTCAGCATTTCTTCGATGTCAGCTTCCTGTAACTTATTTACACATTTGTCCGATAAACTTTCTGCGTAAGTTACAAGGTTTGATATCATCAGTAACATAAAATCCTTTAAAGTCTTCATCTGTAGGTTCATTTACATCAAACATTGTTTTAAGCCAAGGTCTGTGCCAAGCATTTGTTAATGCTGATTTATCAACATCCTTCCAAGCATTAACAACTGCATAAAGGGCATCCTTAACACTGAACTCTTTCAGGAAGTCTTGGATTCCAACTCCTCTGTTGATTGCAGCAAGCATACAGTTTAAAAAATAGTCTTTACACTTGCTCTTCATGGAATGTAAAATTCCTTGGTCACAAGGCTGTAATACAGATGTCACATTAGGGGGTAAGTAGATGCTGAAAACATTACTTTTCACAAGAAGTTTGGCAGGGGGAAGTGCGGAAAAAACTTCGGTTTTCAGAACTTTTCGAATTTCATAATTTCGGATAAGGGGATGTGGACCTATATTATAAACATTATCTAATGCTTACTTTATACAAGATACACACAAAATTTAATTACTAGAAGAATGTATTTTATAAAAATTTGAATGAAATAGTGCAGTTCTAAGGATACTGAAAAACATTACATCCTTTTATTAAATTACAAATGTGTGAGCATGTTATATCTAAATATGTATGTAACATTAGGTGATGAAAGATTGAATATCAGATTGGAGGGAGAGAGTATGGAGGAGGTGAATGTATTCAGATATTTGGGAGTGGATGTGTCAGCGGATGGGTCTATGAAAGATGAGGTGAATCATAGAATTGATGAGGGGAAAAGAGTGAGTGGTGCACTTAGGAGTCTGTGGAGACAAAGAACTTTGTCCTTGGAGGCAAAGAGGGGAATGTATGAGAGTATAGTTTTACCAACGCTCTTATATGGGTGTGAAGCATGGGTGATGAATGTTGCAGTGAGAAGAAGGCTGGAGGCAGTGGAGATGTCATGTCTGAGGGCAATGTGTGGTGTGAATATAATGCAGAGAATTCGTAGTTTGGAAGTTAGGAGGAGGTGCGGGATTATCAAAACTGTTGTCCAGAGGGCTGAGGAAGGGTTGTTGAGGTGGTTCGGACATGTAGAGAGAATGGAGCGAAACAGAATGACTTCAAGAGTGTATCAGTCTGTAGTGGAAGGAAGGCAGGGTAGGGGTCGGCCTAGGAAAGGTTGGAGGGAGGGAGTAAAGGAGGTTTTGTGTGCGAGGGGCTTGGACTTCCAGCAGGCATGCGTGAGCATGTTTGATAGGAGTGAATGGAGACGAATGGTTTTTAATACTTGACGTGTTGTTGGAGTGTGAGCAAAGTAACATTTATGAAGGGGTTCAGGGAAACCGGCGGGCCGGACTTGGGTCCTGGAGGTGGGAAGTACAGTGCCTGCACTCTGAAGGAGGGGTGTTAATGTTGCAGTTTAAAAACTGTAGTGTAAAGCACCCTTCTGGCAAGACAGTGATGGAGTGAATGATGGTGAAAGTGTTTCTTTTTCGGGCCACCCTGCCTTGGTGGGAATCGGCCAGTGTGATAATAAATAAAAAAAATAACATGCACACACATTTGAATATATAAAGGAGGAGGATTTATCCTCTTTCATAATGGGGAATATGAAAATTTTTATCTGTAACTTATTTTTCTAACACACTGACTGCCTTGGTGGAAGATGGCCAGTGTGTTTAAAAAACAAAGTCAGACAAAATTCTTGATATTCCCCATTATAACAGAGGATGAATCCTCCTCCTCTGTATTCATATATCACTAGGTTATAATATACTACCCCATGATAGTATTTCAACGAATTATAATATCTCATTTCTTAAATATTTATTGCACCTTTTCCATTTCATGAAATACTTTGCCCCATCTACCATTCTCCATGCTACATTAAGAAGTTCTTTCACTGTACAAATCTGGAAGAGCATCTCCATCCGCAGTTGATACAGTAGTCAGTATCTACAGCTGATACAGTAGTTAGTATCTGCAGCTGATACAGTAGTCAGTATCTGCTATTGATACAGTAGTCAGTATCTGCAGCTGATACTGCAGTCAGTATCTGCAGCTGATACAGTAGTCAGTAGCTGCAGCTGATACAGTAGTCAGTATCTGCAGCTGATACATTAGTCAGTACCTGCAGCTGATATAGCAGTCAGTACCTGCAGCTGATACAGTCGGTACCTGCAGTCTCCTCTCTCTACATCTTACAAAACAACTTAAAATGTACTTTCTGTTCTCTTAATATCTGTCAAATTTCAATGGTCATTTCTTTTTAAATAACCTTCCCCACCATCAAAGTATTTTGCCAGCCTTAAATTGCTCCCCCTTCTAGTTTTCAACTGAGAAATACAAATCGTATATCTATCAAAAAAATGGAAAAACTTACAAATAGTAACTTAAGTCCTTTTTCTGTGGCTATATCTGAAGTGAGATTAAGGGAGTCAAGTACAGTTGGATCTGCACTGATTGCCCCCTCCACTAATCCTATAAGAGCTTCCAATGCTATTTGGTCTACCATGACACTAGACACACGCTCCAGCAGCATCTTGATGGTGTTATAATACAGGTTGGTCATCACTGGCTGCCCCAGCTTCTTCAAGATCTGCGTCTGTGGAACAACAAACAAGTTTTCTTTAGCATGACAAATACCTCTCATGAAGACTATAACATTCTTGTAATTAAAGGGAATAATGACAAGTAGGGTATACAATATTAAGGAAAATAGCGAAACATGAATTGTTTCCAAACATAATTTTCTTCCTCAAAGTGGTTTGCTAATGCCAACTGATTTAAATCTGACAGCTCGTGGTATTATTATTATATAAATCTTTTCTCTTATTGAGAATCATTAAATATTAATGGGCTTTCCTCTATGGATTTCCTACTTTACTGAAAAAATGATCAATGTCAAAAATTTAATTCCTTATAGTGACTTGTCTAATGCATAAAATGTATAGCAGAGTATATGTAAGTGCTGTCAGTGATGTAGAGAGGACAGAGCAACTAAGTAATAATAGATAATACTTCATCTTGCAGGGTCTTATTAAAGCTAGATAAGAATGAGTTACTAAATGACTCACAGTAAAGATGAGTCACAGAGTTACTCTAAATATGAAGTTGAGGAGAGGTTTTGAAAGTAGCAATAAAGTTTGATTACTGTAATTTTGTGTATCTCATAAGCCTTGCTATAAACACTAACCTCCCCCTCCCCCTCCATCTTCTTCACCCAAACTTATACAGGCAATCACAGAGGACAGGTTTATTTTAAAGGCCGGGAGAATAATGTGAGATTTAAGAGTATAACAATAATTAGGGCAAATGGTGGAATTAAGCATGTGGTATGCACCTTGACCTCACTATATACACTGCCCTCGCTGCTGATTGCTACCACTCATCTTTTCTCTTTCCTTTATAAGCAACCAGATAGGTGCTTACAGTGAGCCACAGGTAGATAACCATTGGATTAAGAATGAATCCTTGATATATGAAATGCTACTTCAGAGAAAGAATACATATTAGAGTGACACAATGCATCTTTATAGTTATTTTGAAATCACTCCTAAAATGAGGTCCTACTTTATCACTGTATTTCCCCCTCCTCCCTTCCTCAATCCCAAAAGTAAAAAAAGCAGCTTTGTGAACTGCAATACAGGGAATCATAAGTCCTCGCCTACCAGACAAAGCACAGTCCTGGTTCTCCAACATATGAACAAGTTGTATGAAACTTAGAATCTATTTTGATATAGCAATAATACAAAGAACTGTCATGTGTCAAACATGTATTACTGTAGGTCAGCATTAGTAAATAATTTTTTTTCTAAATTATTTCCTACTGATCTTGTTTCTGAGTGAAAATATTCACAACTTGGGCTGCATGCAGCCCACATTCAAAATACCTGGAATATATATATACATGTACATAGTATAAATAAAACCGTAAAAACTCTGAAAAAATAAAGTGGATTTCAACATTAAGATATTTAAGTTATAAGGAAAGGTTGTAACATTTATGTTTTGGAAAGAGGCAGTATAATAATCATCTATAAGAAAAAATGAAAAGTATCTTGTAAAATCAACAAACAGATGACAACACAATTTTGTGGTGTGAATGAAAATACATTGGACCCCCGGTTTACGATATTATTTCATTCCAGAAGTATGTTCAGGTGCCAGTACTGAACAAACTTGGTCCCATAAGGAATACTGTGAATTAGATTAGTCCATTTCAGACCCCCAAACATACAAGTACAAACGCACTTACATAAATACACTTAAACATAATTGGTCGCATTGGGAGCTGATCGTAAAGCGGGGGTCCACTGTATTTAAAAAAATAAAAATAAAAAAAGACTGCAAAAACTAAAGTATTATTTACAAATACTAATGCTAAGTGGAACAACCTCAAGGTAAAGGTTGTGCACTATTGACAAATTAAAAAAAAGAAATAAAAGTAAATTAGTAAAAGACATGGAGACACCACGAGTGAATCTCTACACCTGTAATAACAAAAGTTAATTATAGACACCAGACACAGCATGGTACTCATTAATGCTTTACTCTAATATCAGTTAATGAAATTATTTTTAACTCACCACAGCATCTACACTGTCTTTGCATGACACATCATGACTGACAACTGTCTCCATCAGTGACAAGAGTTGTGAATCAGTATTGAGATGTTGTGAGAACTTTCTAAGGAACTCCTGAACTTTAAGAGGATCAGGAAGGAACTTGGTGAGGTGACCCAATCGGTAGGCAATCTCGCGATCTCGCTCCTCATCCTGGGGCTTTCGGTGAAGTTCAATAAGCTCAGCGACATTTTTTCTAACCACTAACTGGTGTTTCTGAAGTTCTATGAAGGCTTTGGTAGCATTGTCATCAATAGAGGCATACAGGTAGAAGAGTTTTTTCATGCGGTCTTCAGGAGCAAGTTGATACGGCACCAAACATGTGTTTAACAGACGTTCCACAAGTAATCTGTAGGGAAAACAAAGGCCAAATAAAAATTAGCCCGTATATTACTTCCTCAATGTCCTAAGTAATACCGATGAGATTAGAGATTACTACCTCCCTTTCAAAAACATTAACAGATGTGAATATCCCAGTAGTTCTTAAATTTTTTTTTTATAAGATCTTACACTAACCATCAAATGGACCTCATGACCAATAGGCTCAGGATAAAATGCAATACAGTAGAGCTTCAAAAACACACATACAATCAATGTATTATTAATACGCAGTAGATCGTTAGTTAATGTGTGATCTGTTAACACTTTTTCACTTGAACATGGTTGCAAAATTGCAGTGTATTTTCAGTGAAAATGCCATATTAATTTACATATTGGAGTACATGTAGAGAAAAACATGGCACATGCGAGTTCTTTCTCTCTCCACCTTGTAGTGGGCATATGACTGAGTCCATTGTTTTATATGGGAGGCCTACTACTTAATGTGCACAACTTCTCTTGCCTCAGTGCTCTGTCATGCCCACACCTTACCCACGCTTTCACTGCCTATACCCTTACATGCCATCCCTACACCTAGTCACATAGCCAAGATATATACATCACATACACCAAACATGCTGACAGATAAAGCATCATTATCTACATAATAAACCATGGCCAGAGTAGTTGTGTATTTCTCCAATCGCTTCCAATACAATTGTCGAAGCCACCTACAACAATTTGGTGATGACTGTGGAAAAATTTTAATGAACTTAAGTTAATTTTGTATTCTGAAGTGAACCTTACATCACAGAGTCTCAGCTGGTACCATCACCCTCACCACCAGCTTTATGGTCAATGGTCTTGTCTTCCACTAAGCCAACGGTGTCTACATGTGCTTTCCTAGTGTTTCTGCAATTTTCCCGAGCTGTTAACATGAAAACTGTCAAATCATGCAAAACAAGCGGTCATGATTAAGATAGCCTTGTATTGAGATTGTCTGTAGTTGTAAGTGACTCTGCAAATGATTCATTGTATTCTGTCCACGGTAAGCCAAGCCACCCCAGGTACGCTGTTCTAAGGCCTGCTTTGCATGCAGTCTCTGCATCTGTGATCTGTGGTCGTGCCTGTGTTCTTTTTCGTCTGATAAATGCCTCTCCGGTCAAGGAGGCATAATGGGGCTTAACATGGGTTGCATTGTAACTCAACAAGCCAGTCCAAGTTGTGGGTTATTGGGACTGAATGTCATCAGCAGTGTTGCCCGTTCACTCATGCCTGCATGTGTCAGCTTACCCATACCACAACACACCCACACCAGCTTCCCACTCAGTGAGTCTAATCCCCCACTCTTTTGAGTCAGGAAGGTTTGTACGGGTCCGCCATCACAAATCGGGCATCATTGGGACCTGTAGTGTGCCGGATTACTGAGTTTGCTGGATTACAGTTATTAGGATAGAATACACTTTATAAAGTTAACCAACTTGACTTACACAAGAAAGTTCATTGAACATTGGCAAAACTTGAACATTTCCGCTTCTTTGAGCTCAATTTCAAGGTACTTTTTATAGTAAAACCAATCAAAATCACATCTTTTTCTGTAATATATCTACCATTCTATCAAATGAGACCCCCCCTCCAAAAAAAAAAAGAATACAACCATAAAAACCATACGAAAATATACCACCAAGAGGTGGCTAATGGCTGAGAAGTGAACTCCGTTATTTATCGTCCAATTTTTTTAATTTTTTGGTGTACATTAAGAAGCATCTTTTCATCATAAATTGCCCAAATTTCAATAAGATAGCCCAACAACCAACTAAGAAAAAAATATTTGCAAAAAATCATATATGGCAAGCCCAAGCCAGGTACTGGAAATAATTAACTTTGTCCGACATTTCTGGGCTATCCTTGGTTCTCTATACATATGCTGCTATGTATGATAATCTATGTAACTGTATTTGTGTATTTTTTTTTTTTATTATCACACTGGCCGATTCCCACCAAGGCAGGGTGGCCGAAAAAGAAAAACTTTCACCATCATTCACTCCATCACTGTCTTGCCAGAAGAGTGCTTTACACTACAGTTTTTAAACTGCAACATTAACACCCCTCCTTCAGAGTGCAGGCACTGTACTTCCCAACTCCAGGACTCAAGTCTGGCCTGCCGGTTTCCCTGAATCCCTTCATAAATGTTACTTTGCTCACACTCCAACAGCACGTCAAGTATTAAAAACCATTTGTCTCCATTCACTCCTATCAAACACGCTCACGCATGCCTGCTGGAAGTCCAAGCCCCTCGCACACAAAACCTCCTTTACCCCCTCCCTCCAACCTTTCCTAGGCCGACCCCTACCCCGCCTTCCTTCCACTACAGACTGATACACTCCTGAAGTCACTCTGTTTCGCTCCATTCTCTCTACATGTCCGAACCATCTCAACAACCCTTCCTCAGCCCTCTGGACAACAGTTTTGGTAATCCCGCACCTCCTCCTTACTTCCAAACTACGAATTCTCTGCATTATATTCACACCACACATTGCCCTCAGACATGACATCTCCACTGCCTCCAGCCTTCTCCTCGCTGCAACATTCATCACCCATGCTTCACACCCATATAAGAGCGTTGGTAAAACTATACTCTCATACATTCCCCTCTTTGCCTCCAAGGACAAAGTTCTTTGTCTCCACAGACTCCTAAGTGCACCACTCACTCTTTTCCCCTCATCAATTCTATGATTCACCTCATCTTTCATAGACCCATCCGCTGACACGTCCACTCCCAAATATCTGAATACATTCACCTCCTCCATACTCTCTCCCTCCAATCTGATATCCAATCTTTCATCACCTAATCTTTTTGTTATCCTCATTACCTTACTCTTTCCTGTATTCACTTTTAATTTTTTTTTGCACACCCTACCAAATTCATCCACCAATCTCTGCAGCTTCTCTTCAGAATCTCCCAAGAGCACAGTGTCATCAGCAAAGAGCAACTGTGACAACTCCCACTTTATGTGTGATTCTTTATCTTTTAACTCCACGCCTCTTGCCAAGACCCTTGTATTTACTTCTCTTACAACCCCATCTATAAATATATTAAACAACCACGGTGACATCACACATCCTTGTCTAAGGCCTACTTTTACTGGGAAATAATTTCCCTCTTTCCTACATACTCAAACTTGAGCCTCACTATCCTCGTAAAAACTCTTCACTGCTTTCAGTAACCTACCTCCCACACCATACACCTGCAACATCTGCCACACTGCCCCCCTATCCACCCTGTCATACGCCTTTTCCAAATCCATAAATGCCACAAAGACCTCTTTAGCCTTATCTAAATACTGTTCACTTATATGTTTCACTGTAAACACCTGTAATAAATTTACTTCTATTCTGTCAACTGAGTATAAGAAACCACCCATTCACCTACGTATTTCAACTACCTAATAAAGTGGTCAGAAATTGGTAATTTGGCCAATTTCAAAATAGGGTCCAGAATAAACAATACAGACATTCCTGACACTAAATTAACATTTTCTATCTTCATTAGTCATGACTCCAGACCCCTCTTATATTACTCTTGCTTACCATTTGGAATTTTTATTCACACAAAAGATAGATTTGCTGTTTTGCAGATTACTGCATTATTGTAATAATTATATAAATAATCTCAACCCATTCGTGACTGCGTATTGGAATTTGGACTGGCCAGTCAGACACGTATTGGATGGTGACGTCATTTGTTTACTCTTGAACATCGCCAAAAAATCAAACATTTCCGCTACTTTGAGTTCATTTTCAAGGTACTTTTCATCATGAAAGCAATCAAAATCATATCTATTTCTGCAATATATCTTCCAATTTATCAAAGGAGACCAAAAAAAAATGAGAATACAACCATAAAACCATACGAAAATATACCACTACGGGGCTGTTAATGGCTGAGAAGTGAACTCCGGTACTTATGGTCCAATTTCTTTCATTTTTGATGTATGTTAACCCTTTGACTGTTTCCGACGTATAAATACGTCTTACGAGCTAATGTTTCTGACGTGTTTATACGCACAAATTCTAGCGGCTTCAAATCAAGCGCCAAAGGCCTGGTAGGCCTACACGAGAGAGAATGGGTCTCAGTGGTCGGTGTGCACCCTGTGAAAAAAATCTGGGACCCAGCGGTGCATTGTGGGAACGCCATGTTGTTAGTCCATTTTCACCATGCCTCTCGGTAAGAAGTTCCTCACTCCTCGGCGGATTGGAGGTCTTTTGTTCTCAAGTGATAGCTCTAACAGCGATGAAAATGTCAGTGACAGCGAATTCCAGGGTTTTGAAGTGAGTGTTACCGGAAAAAGTGCCCATTATAACGTAATTAGTGATGAAAACCCAGATGACCCACAACCTTCGACCTCTGGTGCTGTACCGGCTTGTTCAAGTTCACGTTCGCCTGTACCAGGACGAAAGAGGAAACTATTTGGTCGTGTACAACACCCAGATGATAGCAGTGATAGTGATAGTGATTTCAAGGTCATTGAAAGCAGTTCTAGTGACAGTGAGAGTGAATATTCCCCAGTGAAGCGGCAGTATGTACGACGTAGCATGCGGTCTGGTAGTGTTTCATATGTTGTTCCAAGGGGAAGGAGGAACTCTGGGAGCACATCCCATGGCCCTACACCACGACCTGATAGTGAAGATGACGATATTGTAACGATGGGTATGAATGGTGACAGTGAGGGAGGAGGCAGTGGTGGTGATAGTGAGGGTGGCACGGCCCATGTGGCACCATCAGCGGGCCACGCTACTACCCACGCTGCTGACACAGCACAACAACCAGCCTCACCCTACCCCACACTCCCACAACCTGCACAACCACAACCACGGTACAATATCCAGACCCCACCAGCAGACCGCATCTGGGATTGGCAGGACAGTGACGAGTTTGTTCCCAGTCCCCATGACTTTGATGAAACACAAAGTGGAATAAAGCCATCTTGTCCACTTGGGAACAATGCCAGTGAACTGGACTGCTTTGAG